CCGTACGTTGTTTTAGTTCTTCACACAATAACTACTTTAATGAATTTAAAAGAAAAAGCATAAGACCCAAATAGCGAAAAGCGTTAAATGCGTGTTCAACTTATGATCTTTGCACCTTCAATGCCTAACTAACAATTATTTCGCTTAAGTTTAGAAATTTTTAATAGTAATAAGGTCAATTTAAATTAGAACACGCATAATTCCATGTTAAATAATACTATGGTTATTCTACTAGACAGTCTGTCTGGCGGATTCGAGTCGTTTTTGGCATTTTTCCACGCATCAACTCATTACATCATACCGCAGCGTGTATATTACTGTCACGTCATCACGCTTAGGTCGGGAATATGCGGTTTGTTTTTTTCCAACCATAATAGTCGTAATGCCGACATTCCTTTATAAAAATATCTTTAATGCAAAGTTCCAATGTTGGCATGACATAGTGAAAATATGTCTCAATGACTTTTTTCTTTTTAATTATATTACACACATTCCTTTTACTTTGCACATTGACGATATCTAAACGATTTTTCAAGAATACGAGGTAGAATAATTTCAAAAGATCGTGATTTGCTAGGTCTAACCGAAGTCACTGTGTTAGGGACTAGGGCCACGCAAAAGTCTAGTACCACGACCTCACTGAAGACTGGCGTGAATTGGAAGTGTTATACTTGTGCGTTTCGTCTGGTGAGTGAGGTAGCCGGAGTCCAGTTTATTGAAAGTTGGCAGCGCATATTCAACCCCTATGGGTGTTGCAAATGTCAATGGGCGGCGGTTTTCACCTAGCATCCGAGGAACCGCCCGCTCGCTAGGCACCTTCTCACATTATGGTAGCTTACGAACGTATTAATTTTTATGTAAAATTTTGACATTTCATTAGTGTTCTTAACACGCAAGCGTCTGTTTGAATAAATATATTTTTGATTTTGATTTTTAAAAAAACTGGGATTCACTCTATTAAACGGCATTGCAACGATGTTTCAATCCCAAAGGCGTTGAAAATGTTCATGGGAGGCGATTATCACTAATGTCAGGTGAACCGCCAGCTCGTTTTTCCGTAAAGAAAAATCATTTAACAATTTGGTTTTTGAAAAAAATATTTTTTGTGATAAATGAAAAGATCACATATAAGTTCTATAAGAAAACTTTTTTTTCGCTATTATTCAAAAGATATATCAAAATAAAAATTCATTTTTCAATTCAATTCAATTCAGTACCGAAGACACGATAATAACTTCCGAACAAATCCGAGCGCGTGTGACGTCATAATGTTAGCTGTGCAGTTATAGCATTGAAGATCCTGAATTTTTTAACTGACTCCAAAAGTACATTGCAACATTTAGCTCGATGTACCTCGTGTTTTCGAGGAACACCGATAGCTTATACAATTACGGGATCTATAGAAAAATTAGCCAAGAAAGGGATAGTAGTTACACTAAAGTGGATTCCATCTCATATTGGTATAGTTGAAAATGAGGTTGATGGTCTGGCTTTCGAAGCACTTACCGATGGTATGAATGTTCAATGTCTTATTTTTCGGAGTTATTACCTATTTCAAAGGAACGTTGTCGCGATTATTGGAGTGAATATTTTGATGAGAGGTCGCTTATGAAAGGAATATGGTACAAAACAATTCAGCCAGTTATTTGCCGTTTCCCATGGTTTGCAGATTCCAAAATGAGCAGGTCGGAGATTGTAATCGCTCTAAGACTTCGATCTGGGCACATGCCATTGAATACCTTCGGATTTCTAATGAAGAAAGTTATATCGCCTAAATGTAACCAATGTGAAATAATTGAAGATGTGTACCATATCATAGTGGAATGTGTAAGGGTTGAAGCCGAGAGGTGTGAATTCATGTCTAAAACGTTATATAATAGATTAGATGTTGGTTTTTGTAATAGTGTATTAGCTTTTCCAATTTCTGTAGATGCTAGAACACTATATAATATTGTTCAAAAATGTTTAAGCAGGCGCTAATTTTTTGTTTAAGTGTTTATGTAACTAAGTTTGTACTACGAGGGTGATATTTACCTACTTGTGTAAAAACCCTCTTTAATAAAATAAAAAAAAAAAAAGATCCTGAATTTTTCTCAGCTTTTCATTAATAATTAAAGTAACTGAATAAGCTTTACTCCGAACTCGATGTTCTGGACATACCCTTCCTTTTACGATACAAATATTATTTTAAAGACTAAGTTGAACATAACCTATAGCTTTGTCGCCGTAACTCTCACATGATGCTCTATACTTATTGAAATAAATAATTATATTCAATATAATGGAGAATAAATACTTGGATAGTTTCATTTATAATATTATTTTTTAATAAACTTACCTTGATGCCTTGAACTTTACCACGAACTTTAGCGGAATTGAACCGAACGTCATTTATAAAAAAAATTGGTTTTCATAAATATATCAGCGTCAGGAATATTATCAGACTTTGGTGACTTTTTTAATTGTATGTTTCAATTCAATAACAATTAAAAAATGCCCAATTCAATTTGTATAACCAGCCTAAGCGCGATTAACAACGTCTATCGCATAATTTTATAACTAATGAAAACAAATTCTCCTTCAGCCGTTTGAGCTCGCGTTCCAATTCACCAGACTGCGCCAGCCTTGATTTTTAACGATTTAGACGCCAGTCAACTGTGACCAGACACGCTTTGTACGGCTTGAATTGCCCCAGAAGAAACTATTCGGTACACTCTTCCGGTCCAGCCGAGTCAGAACATTCCTACTTGCTAGCCACTCTGTTTTAATAACGTGTTATGTACGAATTGTAAGCATAAACATACAGATTCAAAGGCCCTAACTATCGTCAAATTCTTTTACTTGCTAATTTTATGAATAACACCATCACATGAAAGAAGAAGTTGGGATTCCCACTAAACTTACGCCATATTTAACTAAATTAAACACTACATTTATATTATTGTTGTTGTGATAGTGTTTAGTCGGTCATACTCTCGATTTTTCGGGAGGAAAAAAATACGTTGCTTAGTTCCAACGTTGCTTGTTTAGATAAGGCCGGTCGGTTTTGTATACGCGGCCTTGATATTTGTGTATCAACACCGATAACAATATCTACGTATGAAGTAGACAACGACTCAGTCAATTAGCGCTTACTGTGTCATTTTAAGGCGTGTCAATGTAGACTTGACTCTCCAGATGAAAAAAAGAAGCTCATAGAAATTGATGTAATAATTTAAACTTCCCTGTCTCTCTGTGGTCTGTATTTCATAGAGTTTTTAACATAACTGCAAATTGTTACTGTCAGCAGCTATTTTATACAAATTGTCAATAAATTCATTTTTATCTGTAGGTTTTTTTTTATCTGAAAGAAAGAAAGAATCTCATTTATTCAAGGTTTAACCACAATACATACATAAAAAAATAATGAACTAACACAGAACATAAAATAATATTGCAGAAATTAAAATAACTGAAAACATCAAAGAAATAATCTCTCGTTAATTTTAGATTTTTTCAAAACTTTACCGATGGTCCCTAGTCGACTTGATTACTATATGCTTGTTATCACAATGCCATTGACACACTCACTTTTTTTCAATTCTTAGTCGATTTAAGCAGAATTAGTTTACCGTATTTTGATGTCTTAGGCGGGTTGGTAGTTCATAATTTATAATTTATACTTCATAGTTTATAATTTATAGTTCATAGTTTATTTCGTGTAGTTATAAATACAAGAAGTTATAATTTCAATCTCGTTTTATTTACTTTTAAATATTTGGAATAGCCTTGTGAACGTACAGTTGCCGCAAAATGTTGTACACATCGAAAACTTATCTATTGCATTGGTAAAACACAAATTAGCGATCCATTTTAATTACGTTTAAAAAAAATAAGATAAATTTAATTGTAGAAGAGTATTGCTTAAATATACAAGTTTATACTAGCATTATTATTTATATCGATTTGGATTATTATTTATTGCAATACAATATTTTATTGCCATTTATCTACATTTATCTAGAAATGTTGCAACATAAGATATCGCTTTCATCAGAGTTGTATTTAAATAATATTTAGTGTATAATATAGCCTGATAGTTTTCAATATGTTATTCAGAAAGAATTGCGTATAACAACTTTGTTTAATAAAATTTACCTATCAATATTATTTTTACAAAAGTTTCGTTTAAGAACACACTAATTTGAATTGCTGTAGGTCAACGATGGTTTTAGATAAGAGTTTGCTGTTTAAAAAAAAACGCATATTGCCTCTTTAAAAAACAAACTTATCTAAAAACCACTTATTATTTATTGACTTGCAGTAATGCAAAGCGGTTTGATTTTCGTCATTTTTAATCAATCCGCATCTGAGGCTAATTAACGCTATTAATTAAAGAAGAAAGAAATAATACAAAAGGATAGATCCTGTCAATTTTGAAGATTAATAAAAATATGACAAAATTGCTGTGTCCATGCATATTGCTGTGTATTTAGATTATACTTATTAGGTTCTTCCTCTGAAGACTTTGCCTAGCAGTGGGACATATAAAGGCTATTAATTCATTTTTTTACTTTTAATACAAACCTAATAAGTATAATCTAAATTTACAGGGGTAAAGGGGATATGTATTGAGGCATAGTTCACCACGCGACTCCACCGCGTATTGGCAGACTACATATATCTTCAAATTCTTTTATATTATAATTTGGAAAATATGTAGGTATCCTCACGATGTTTTCCTTCACCGCTGCATTTAAAATTAACAATTTCTTCGGTGCCGGCGCCGGAAATTGAACTCGTTGCTCGAGTATACTGAATTAAAAGCGAGGGCCCTATATTAAAAGTTCTTGTATTAAATTACAAAAATATATGAGTTTTAAATTACTAAAATATATTGAGATTGCTATTGGCCGTCTTGTAACCATCGTTAAAAAATCTACTTAAATGATATATCGTAAGAAATTCGTAACGCGTTTGCCTTATTTGTTTTTTTTTTTTTTTTTTTTTTTTTTTTTCAGAACAATAAACACGTCGGGGCTCTGGACGATGGTCAGTTGCGCGCGCTACTTGACGAGGCAATAGCCTATAAACGTCCCAAAGATCGTGAAGGCAAGAGCAGCCTTTTCAAGGTAACCTTCCGTGACATTCATCCGGATTACGAGCTCTGTAAAAGATCAATATGTTTGAAACGTTCACGAGTTTATATCCACGCATTTTATTTTGATCATCTTAACAGATTTTGGTTATAATAGAATGAACGTCGATTTATCCATACGTGTTTATAAAGATTGTAAATTGCTTAAGGATGAATAATGTGGTAATTATACAATACAAAACCATGAAATTTTGTGACAATGGAATAAAGACCTGAGCATGGCTTGTATTTTAATAGATAAATTAAAATCTTATGCAGGAGTCTTGTAGTAAAACAAATATACACAAGGAAAAATATTCAATAAGTAACATGTACGAAATAAAAAATTTATTAAACATACTTACGCCCGGTTTCTGAAACACTGATCAATGTAGATGTCAACTAATCAGCTGTCAAATGAATTTCAAATGTCATTTGAGTTGCCAAAAGGATGTTTAAACTCTTTGAATTGATCATTCTAATCATAAAGAAGATCATTCTGGTCAATTCAGAGAGTTTAACCATCCTTTTGGTACCTAAATTGTAATTTGAAATCCGTTTGACAGCTGATTAGTTGGCATCTACGATGATCAGTATTTCAGAAACGGGCGTTTGAGTTTAGAGCGACTCAGTAAAGTTAACTGTGGTAGGGCCACTCAACAGTCCGCTGATGCACGAAGGGGCAGGTCTGTCCGGGGAACTACCACGACGACACAGAAGACCGGCGTGAAGTGGTAGTATTATACTTACTTCTGAGCTTCGTCTGGTGAGTGAGGTAGCAGGGGCCCACTGAATCAAAAGATGGCAACGCCTACCTCTTAATACGTTCCTACGGGTGTTGCAAAAGTGCCATGGGCGGCGGTTATCGCTTAACATCGCGTGAACCGCCAGCTCGCTTGCCACATTTTCACATTTAAAAAAATAACCTTGGATCGTGGTGCAGGAGTTGCTCGAGGAGGTGGAGCAGGACGAGCAGGCGTGCGAGGCGGCGGCGCGCGTGGTGACGGGGCCGCGGGGGGGGGCGCGCCGCCCGGGCCACGGCCGCCGCGCGCTGCCCCACTCCAACTCGCTGCAGGACCTGATGGCGGCGGCCCTGGCGGCGGAGCCCCCCCGCCAGAGGGCGCACGCGCACCCGCCGCCGGCGAGCGTCTCCGCGCGCGCCCACCACGGCGGCAGCCTGCCCTCCGGCGTCGACACATGTTAGTGAGAGCGCGCGAACAGCATTTGGCCCACATGCGAACACGAACGCGTGCAATACGTGTTCGTGGTTCTTATCCACTGTCACTCTATCGGTGTCCGCTCTCAAAGCGATACAGTGAGAGCAAGTCCGAAATCTAAAGATCTCACATAGCTCGACACTCCATGAATCGATTCTCCTCCCCTAAAGCTCTGAGGTTATACAGGGAGGCTTTTCTAAGTGTATCCATTTTTTTTTTAAATTAAATTCTAGACATAATTAATGTTGTTTATAAAAAATTATAAATATTTAAAATCTCTCGTAATTAATTAATTACATTCATTTGAACTTATCTCAATAAGTGCGTGATTTATGGGCAATTCATTTTACTCGCGATCATTCATAACTGACACGCACACAAGTTCGTTTCAACAGTCTACGACGCATTTATGAATGACTACCACATTATCAACAAGTTCTGTTTTTAGGGAATAGAATTGCATTTTTGGATAATAAAAGTTTGTTTTTATTTCATGAAACGATTATAATACCGAGTCTAAACCTTCTCTGTGAATTTGGTTAGGCACCTTTAAAAAAGCCACCCTGCATAATGGTGGCAATGCATTTGCAGCGTGAAGAAAAAACGTTGTGAACGTTTGACAAAAGTGATTCGCCAGATGCTTGTAACTTGCTCGCGTTAAAAAAAAAGGAATTTTACAGTTATTTCGCTTCACTCTTCACCGGTTCTACTTTGGTCTACAGCGCTAACGGATTGCGTCACTTTGACCTTTTTTCACCAAAAATTCAAGCTATGAAATTGCTTAAACCTAAAATTCTTATTTTGTTCATTCCTTAAGTTGTATTCAAGACGAATGCTTATGAATGGATACACTGGCGCGTGTTTGAAGTGAATTTGGATGTCTGGTGAACTTTTAGTCAGATTTAAATTTATATCAGCACCCGAATCTATCGCCAGGGCATTGCCCATTGTCAATTCCAATGTTAACCGTAACCCACGCAATGACAGTAAAGATCGCGACAGTAAAAATCGGTACACATTTAATCCCTGTGTTCTTTCTGTTCGACAAAAGTCCCGCCAATGCGCCCTTCGTAAGAATAGTGCCCGTTGCCATGACAACGGCCGAAGGGTTGATCGTGATGCCTCCCTCTGCTCCCCCGCAGCGTCAATGCTCGGCGAGGAGCCCACTCGGGGCGGCTACCTGGCCACCGTGCGCTGCGTCAACCCGCCGCCGCTTTCCGAGCGACGCGTCTCCGCCAGCGACACGAACGCCCCCCTCGACCACGACCACAACAGGTACGCTCGACCACGACCGGAACACACGACCACGACCACCCGTTCGCCGCGACAGACTTTTTGGACTTTGCGTTACAAGAAACTCCTTTTCAAGCGAACATTGTGGTAATTCACACTAATTAAAAGTTCACATTTCAAACACCGTAAAGAGTATAGTATTGATGTCAGAATTTTAATTCCAGTTTGTTTTCGATCTCCCTTCCTGGCTATACCGTTTTTACCAGCATATTGTGTGGCTACAAGCAGCAGCAAAAGAAGTATTGTAATATAACATTACATTAGTTTTGTTACGGCAACATTTAAGACCTGAGCGGATTGATACAAAGTATATAAAGATATCAACTAGTTAGATCCCCGAGTCTTTTAAGTTTCCAGGTCAAACTTTTATAAATTCTGTCTGTTGCGCTTAATGTGATCATACTGATAAGTTAATCTTAATTACAGGTTCAAAGTAACATAATACCAGACAAAATAAGTATAATGAGTAAGTGACTGACTGACTTAACTGTGGCAAGGCTACACAACAGCTTCGGCTGTTGCACGAATGGGCAGGTCCGTCCGGGTAAGTACCAAGACCTCACAGAAGATCGGTGTGAAGTAAAAGTGTTATACTTCTGCGTTTAGGCGATAGTCGAGCCCCACTTTATTAAAAGTTGGCAACGCTTCTGCAATCCTGGGTGTTGTAAATGTCCATGGGCGGCAGTTATCACTTAACATCAGGTGCGAAACCGATGCTTGCATTTGTAAAAATGTAGATTTATTTAACCGGATACGAACATTTTACCGACTTCACGGTCACATTACACACGTTTGAACCGTCGCAATCGATTTACATTTTCGTCGCAACCGATTTCAAAGTAAGCGTCTTCAGGGCAAGAGTGAATAGGTTTTTACTGAGCTAGCACGCTTACCATCAATGGCTCCAAATCCACTTACCATCTGGTGGGATGGCGGTCAAGCGCTGGCCAGTTTAGAATAAAAAAAAAGAAAGCAAAGAGCTGATCGCGCCGTCCTCCGCAGGCGGGGCAAGCAGTCGTTCCCGATGACGTACACGGCGCGCGCCACCCTCGAGATCGGCGGCAGCAGCGTGTGCACCGGCCGGGCGGTCACCACCACGACGCCGTCGAACCAGGTGCGTACCGCCGCCGCGGCGCCGCCCGCCGCCCGCCCGGCCCGCCATAACGGGACTCTTCGTCGCCACCAGATACCCGCCCACCAGATAGCCGTCGCGGACGACGGCTCGCGCCCGAAACGGGAGACGTCCGTCGACCGCGACCGCCCGCCGCCAAATGACCACACGCACGACCATTACGCGTCGCAACGCAACAGCGCCGCGCTCAGAAGCGACGAGGTGTGGACAAAGAGCGTCGAGAGCTGGTATGAAGGCTTGAACAATTACTTTATCCCTAGCGGCGCATCGAGGAGCCGGAGCGGTGCGGGCCGCGTTCCGTGCGCGGCGCCGGTGATGCGTAACCGCTCGGATGTCAGTCGCTCTCGTAATTTCGCCGGCGAAGAGTACGGGCTCGACGCAACAGAGCCTCTTGCAGACATGATGCAAATTCGTAACGAACACAAGGCTGCTGTTGAATCTGAACCGGAGTCCATTGCAATGATGGAAGACTGGGAAAAGCAAAAAGTGAAAAAGGAATCTGCAAGAAATGTTAGCACCAAAGATAGCCACACGAGGAGTAAATTAAATGTGAAATCAAAGAAATGCTTAGTCGTGCCAGCCTTGTCCGCGACCAATCCCAAGAGTTTCAGAAACACGACGATAGGTAGCATAACAGAAGATACACTTAACCGGCGATTTTGTGAAAGCTTAAATGAATCCCACAATGCTTCGGGCTATAAAAAACGTGAAAATGAATTTAGAAATGATCTGAATGCTTCAATAGCAAAATCCCAAACAGGCATCGACAATTGTGAAGATCCCTCCAAAGGCCAGACTCTAAAATCGAAACACTTTGTCGAGGAGTACGAAGGAATCCCTCTTGCACCGACGGAAGCCAAAGACTCACGTGTCTACGAAATGCTTGACATTTCGAGATCAAATTTTTCCGAGTGTACGGACAGAATAGAAATGACCAATATATCGTCCAAGGACTCCGGACGCAAATGTTCATTCTCAAAATTTGTAGATGAACAACAGAAACTGTTTGAGAAATTGCAAGCTGGGCACGAAATTGATAAGGAAGTTCTGGACACAAAAGAAAGCGACGAGGACACCGGTAAAGTTAACAATAATAAACTGAGGAGCAATACAAATAATAATTTGCATGAAACTAATAATGAGAATTATGGAAAAATCAAAGATTCTGAATTGAATAGAGCCGAGAATGTCACAGTCGCAAGTGAAATAGAAGAGCGGTTCGATAATCCTACCACTGCAACGTTACCAACTAAACGTCCGTCCCTTACTAACACACCGATTGACGATCCCAACTCGAAGGCAGTCCAGTTGAAATATCCGAAAACGGTCGTCAAGGGAGACGCGGACAGAAACGAACCGGACTCGTGCAAACGGTCGACACTCACGGTGCTTCTATTGGAGAATCTGTTCCGCGGGGCGGACAAGTTGTTTCCCGGCGTGAGAGTGCTAAGCGGGAGCGAGGTAGGAGCGCCCCGACGTGCGGGGCTCGGTTCGTTCCGCGGCCAGTTTCGCGGGGCGCGTTGTGACGCCGAACGTTTTGCTTGCAGATCGACTCGGCGATACCGTTCAGCTGCATCACAACACCGGAGGTTGTGGCCAGCTGCAACACCACGACGTCGACGGGCCAGCCTGCGACCGCCGTGGACCCCAAGGTTGGCTCACACCGTTCGCCCCTAACGCGAGCCGCTTTACCTCTGTTTGCATACTTTTCAAGATCGCTCCCATTCTCGTTTCTTCCCATTCTCTCGAGTGGTAGTGGTCGTTTTTTTATATACAGGGTGGCTTTTCTAAAGGTGCCCAAATTTATTTATTTATTTATACTTTATTGCAACCTTTAAATAAAAAGGATTACAAAGGGCGAACTTAATGCCTTTTGGCATTCTCTCCCAGTCAACCCGGGGCGTGGTGAGAAATCGTGGTAGGTGCAATTATTACATTAATAAATTCACACATGAGGTTCAGACTCGGTAGTATAATCGTTTATTGAAATAAAAACAAACTTTTTTTTTTCAAAAAATTGCCATTCTATTCCCTAAAAAACAACTTGTTGACAATACGGTAGTCATTCATAAATGCGTCGTATACATTTGAAACGAACGTGTGCGTGTTAGTTATGAATGATCGCTCGTAAAATAAATGAGTTGCCCATAAATCACGCACATTTTGAGATAAGTTCAAATGAATGTAATTAATTAATTATAAGCGATTTTAAATATTTATTATTTTTTATATAACATTATTTGTGTCTAGAATTAAAAAAAAATGAATACACATAGAAAAACCACCCTGTATATCACTTTCTAGTTGTTGTTTTTTTAAGTGTTGTAGTTTAGATTAGAGTTTACCATTAATTTCACGCTTGACTGAGCAATTAGCACAAATGTACATAAATGTTGCCATTTTTAATTTTGCACAAACTGCATAATTCTAATTTAGTTTTTCGTAGAAGCGTGAACATACTTAGAAGTATAAGGTTATTAATTTTTTTTCTTTGAGCACAAGACTATAGGGTTTTGACTAGTTTTTGGATACGATTACATCATAAAATATCATTTAGTCTATGAAGCATTGGTCAGTGTGCTTCGTTACACTATCATACGTCGCGTTGCGTGTGAGTTGTTCGACAACTACACGGTGCAAACAGTGGGGCACATTGAAGTGAGACAGTGCTAGGGATGTCGAAAGTGAAGAAATATATCGAAATTTATAAGAATATCAATGTCGGGCTCGATATAGTGAGGTTCTCGAAGAGAAAATATGGATATATTGATATTTTCTCTTTAGGACCCTTTATCCAAATAAAAGGTATATCAAGTATTAAATATTTGACATCTACAGTCTGATCGGTCTGATCAGTCGGATTCGAATTTGAAAAAATATCGTTTTTGAAATTGAATATTTTATACCGATAAATCGGATCAAAATATATCGCCTAAAAATATCGATATACAAAATCAAAAAGGATATATCTATATTTTTTCGACATCCCTAGTAATTGCGAGTGTTTGTTAACGGGCAGTATATGTACTCGAGCTATATGGTAGTGTGCGTGAGAAATAATTGTGTCATCGGAGTCGGTGCGAGCGTTCGCGGTGGCCTGTGTAATGACGCATCGGTGTGCGTGACAATCTGGAGTAATTATAAGGCGTGTATGAACGTTAGCTACTAACTGCGCGCGTGTATGTGTGGCGTGTGTATAGTGCGCGTCGGTGCGAGCGTCGCGGTGGTCTGCGTAATGACGCCTCGCGGTGTGCGTTGCAAAGCGTGTATGAATGCAAGCTATTAACAGTGCGCATGTATGTGTGTGTGTGTGTGACGTGTGCACAAGGGGCATAGGGTTCGGTGCGAGCGTTAGCGGTGACCTGTGTAATGACGCCTCGCGGTGTGCGTTGCAAGGCGTGTATGAAAGCAAGCTATTAACAGTGCGCGTGTATGTGTGGCGTGTGCACAAGGGGCATAGGGTAGTCGGTGCGAGCGTCGCGGTGGCCAGTGTAATGACGCGCCGGTGTGCGTGGCAGCCGTTGCAGCCGGGCCCGGGCTACCGCGCCGTGTCGTGCCTGACCGGCGAGCAGCAGCCGCGCCGCGCCGCGCCGACGCCCGCCCCGCCGCCCGCACCGCCCGCCTCGCCCGCTCACCAACAGGTAACTGCGCTAGGGATGTCGAAATACTATCGATTGGTCGATATTTCTCATTCAATATCGAAAATCGTATCGAGAACGTGTATTAATTTCAAATTCGAATCTGTCCGGAGGTATCAAATATAAAATACTTGACATACCTTCTTCATTTTGGACAAATGTTTTTACGACTATATCGATATATTTCTTCACTTTCGACATCCCTAAACTGTGCGCCACGCGATGGCGTCACTTTTCGGTGGTGGGAGGAAGGGGGGACGGTGGTCGTGGTGGGGCTTGGGAAGTTAGCTTTCTGTGCACTTTACATCGAGTGGGCGGTGCGACGCGACGCGGCGCTGCCGTTTCTGTATCAGATTGTTTGTTTTTAATTTATGACGGAATGTCGGATTAATTAGAAAAAAGAAAAAACAACTTCAATGCGCCTACGTTTAGCCTTTTTTTTCGATGTTTTATTGCACCATTCAAAATGTATTTAGTAATCACCTGGTTTAATGTCCTCGAAATGTCTTTTTGTTTTGTAATGGCAAGTTTTAAGTTCAGGAGAAAAGTATGCAAATGGTGTAATTTGGTATTGTCTAGAATCACATCAGAAGCCCTCGTGAAAAGGTAGCGCTAATTATACTCGCTTTGATTTTGTAGTATGCATTTTATCTTACTTTATATAGTTTATTAATCACACTAACTGAATGCCTTAATCGTTTTAAACTAAATTACAATTAAATGTAAATATACTATACCAACCAAAAGTATTTCTTTATATTATGTTTTTTGGGATACAACTAGGATTATTCTTTAAGTATTTCGGACCCGAATAGGCGCGGTGGGTAGTCCTCCTGCGCCAGAGGGTGTAGGTTCGATTCCCCCTACAAGAAAATTTTTGTGTGATGAGCATGTGTTTTTCTTGTGTCTTTTATATATATGTCTTTATTTACAAAAGAAAAGTATGTTGAAGTATATTTATCAGTTATCTAGTACCTATAGTACAAGTGTTGCTTATATTGGGAATTGATAATGTTGTGTAAAAATTTGTCTTAAAATATTATTATTATTTTGCTTATGCTTACGTGGTTATAACATTGTGTGGTTTTATAACACCATGATGCAAGTGAAACTTTTTTCGTATCGTAGGCATATTTAACTGAAAATATTCTGTTAAATAAACTTATATATAAAAATGAATTGCTGTTCGTTAGTCTCGCTAAAAGTATAACGGCTGCACTGGTTTAGCTAATTTTGGTTTTGAAATATTTGTGGCAGGCCAGGGAAGGTTTAAACGATGAGAAATTATTGAAAAATTGCATGGAACATCGAAATAGCAACAATTTTATTTTCCTATACAAACTGTTCCTTGCTATACTTATACGTTCCTTCCTATACTTCCTTTTCCTGTCAAACATGTTATGGGTGCGTTCCGAAAATTCTTTTTCAATAAATTGGCAAAACAACCTTTGCCGAGTCAGCTAGTAATTAATAATTCGAATAATATAAATGCTATTTATTTAATATAAATGCGGTTAGCTGATGCGAGCCATGGGCGCCGCCACAATGGCCTTGGCTTCTCTCCCGATTGCCTTTCACTTCACACCTATTCCTCGGCCCGCTGTAATGCGACATGCGATAGATGGACGAAAAAATTAGAAGCGATGTAAAAAATGTTTCACTTTAGAAAACGCTTTCTTGAACGCATTAAAAGTAAAGTAAAATTAAAAAGTAAAGTAACAGCCTATAAACAGCCCCATTGCTGAGCAAAGGCCTCCTCTGTACGGAGGGTACTGAGGGATCAGAGTCCACCACGCGTCCCCACTGCGGATTGGCAGACTTCACATATCTTCGGAATATTTTTTCGAATTTCGAAAATATAAAATTAACACCTTCATTGGTGCCGACACCCGGGATCGAACTCAGGTTGCTCGAGTATATGTTATTAAAAGCGAGCGGCCGCACAATGAGTTATCACGGTTCAGGCTAATCGATTGTGTTAGGCTTAATCTAATCGGTACGATTGTTGCGAACAGCCTCGCAGTGTTATCTCGAGCAGCTTCAACGGGCTGCCGCTGACGAGGCCTGGCTACGGCTCCGGCGCCGCCGCCGCCTCTGTGTGCACCGCGGCCGCCGCGGGCACCGCCGCCGCCGACGAATGCAAGGTGCCTTCACCAATTTATTAAACATTCTTGACTATTAACTACATACGTGTTTTAGCCGCACCCTCGGCACATCTCGTCAATACGAAAATAGTCTAAAAATGCGCGTTATAAATTAAAATTTTTTTGTTAATAGAAATCGCTGGACGAAAACGGCAACTCAGTGCAGGGATTCAGCTCGCCACTGTCGGGATCTAGTCAACATAAGAAGCCGAGGCGGAAAAAGTCTTCGAAGAACGAGACCGTGATCAAGTCACAGGAGATCGACGGCTACCAGGGGAACAAGGATCTCAACGAAGTGCTGCGCTTCATCGAGTCGAACGCGGAGGGCGCGCGCGGCGCCAAGGCGGGCGGCGGCCGCGCCAAGCACAAGGACGACGCGGAGGACAAGGCGGCCAAGAAGCGCTCCACCGAGCGGCGCAAGGACGCGGCCAGGGGCAAGGTGAAGCGCGCCACCTCCATGGAGGAGCTGTCGCGCACCAAGCTCGAGGACCTCACCGACAAGCCGGCCGCGCGCACCGAGCCCGCCAAGCCGGCCAAGCCCGAGCGCCGCTCGTGGGGCGACGACGCGCGCGAGCCCCGAGACGCCTTCTACCTGCAAGGCGCCGAGCCCAAGGAGCCCGCCGAGCCCGCCGAGCTCACCGACTTCCAGACCGTGACCAAGAAGCGCAAGCCGCGGCGGCGCCCCGACGAGCCGGAGCCGCCGCGGCGCGCGCCCCGCCCCGCGCCGCCCTCCGACCGCAGCAACGACTCCAACGACGACATGGACTCTGTGCACTCGCTGCCGGCGGAGGGGCGCGCCGCCGCGCCGCCGCCGCCCGCGCACGCCTCCTACGCGGACATCGCGCGCACCAGGCACAACATCCCCGACCTCATCGAGTCGTGCAACTACTACGCGGAGGGCGAGCCCGAGGGCGGCGGCGAGCGGGCGCGGCGCGACGCGGCGCCAGAGGCGGCGGCCGCGCCCGCGCCCGCCGACGGCGACTACCCGGCGCTGCTGGAGACGCGCGCTGCGCGGCGGCGCGACAAGGGCGCGGCGCGGCCGGCGCGCAAGGAGCGGCCCGCGCCCGACGTGGTGGCCGACCGCCGGCCGCCCGTCATCCTGCTCGACTGCGCGTCGCGGCCGCGCGACATGGACGGCGTCACGTTCGGCTTCGACATCAACGAGCAGCTGGTGGGCGGCGCGCGGCGGCCGCGCTGCGACCTGGTGCGCGACGCGCTCGAGGGCGGCGGCGCCGCGCCCGTGTCCGTGCCGCTGGGCGGCGGCGCCGCGCTGCGTTACGTGCCGCCCGCGCACGCGCGCCACGACCAGCGCCACCTGCACCAGATCGTCGACTACGTGGGCGCCGGTAACGTGCCGATCGATATGCTTTCCTAAAGAGCCACCAAATATACTTTTGCTACTTTCCAAGTTCAGTATATCAACTACAGTCTATAAGTTTCAGAACCCATCTGGTAATAGGGGCGAGCAGATATCAGAGATACACTTACAAGTTTACGATACATTTGCTAATCCAGCGTGATTGTGGATGTTGCAGTTTAAACAACAGTAAAACAATCACCATGAAATAAATTAAATATCTTAATTGTTTGTTATCCATTATGCAATAATACAATATTTACTTGTCATTGTTGTTCCAGCTTGGGAGGACGTAGTGCGATGCGGCAGCGGCAAGGTTCGCTACTTTAGTGAGTAGCGCCACCGGAACAGTTTAGTGTTATATTGAAAAGTGATAGTGCAGTGATGCAAGAACTACTGAAACTGGAGGACAACGCATAGGATAATCGCTTACATGGAGCTCGGCGTTGTGCGGCTCGGTGGCACAGCTCGCGTTGTGCGCTTCTGTTTAATCTCGTGAGTGATGTCCAAGTGATTTAATTCATTTAAGGCGCTTCCGACGTTCGGCCGTAAACTGTTGAATGCGCGCTGTATTGCACTATGAAAGATCATGCGATGCCAGAAAGGGATGCACGATCGCAGTAATTGCTCGACGAAGCAATACGTACGATTGTACGATTCTCGCCCCATGGTGGATGTATAATAATGGCTACGGCCGTTCCCTTTAAGCGGAGGTCTAGTTCTCAAGCCGTGAAACGCTTTCTCGTGATGTAATCTAAAATGAGCATTCGTCTGTCGGTGATTGAGACAGTTTCCTTGTCGATTTGTAAATATGAGAACTGTGGAGCTTATATGAGCATTTAATTGTCACATTTGCACTTGTATGAAAACGAAAAAAAAATCTAAATGAAAATGCTGTCAGAACTGATTCGGGATTGTCGATTCGAGATTTCTTTGTGCAAGGGGCTTTATTTATTTGCTTCTGGGTGTATGGCCTGGTACATAGTCAAATAGGTATGGATGAAAATTTTATTGTTCAGGTAGCTGACAGTTTAAGCATTTCCTTTTTAAAAACAAAACTCTGCCATTAGAAGCTAGCTTATTGACTCATGGAATATAATATGTCTCGCCAGAAGTTGCTTGCTTTAATGACTCCAGTCATGTCAATGTCTATGTATCAGGCCAGTTTCGCAGGCACTGATTGGAATTGTAAGTAAAGGCACATTATTTTGTTTCTGTTGATGTTTATTGTGCTTGAGTTTGTTATTTAATCGCATATAATTTCTAGATTTTTCTCTAACTAGCTATGTGCATCTTACTTTGTTATGTAATTTTTAAGTTTTACTACTGAAAGATGTAAATAAAATATTAACATAAGTCCTGTATACCATATGATTATATAGTGCCCGTTAACCAATAAAAGAAAGAGAGCTCTTCCAACAAAATTTTTATTTATATTATGCTTAGAAAGGGGTTAGAATGATTTCTAAAAGGAGGTAGAATGTGAATCGTCAATGGACATATATTTTTCAAATAGTAAAATGAAATCACAAGCTCATTACTGTACCATTAATGGTACACTATTATTGACACATCAAGAGAATCAAATTAAACTAATGCTAAATAGTACTGTAAACAATCGAAAACAATTTATTTTTGGCATCAGTGCTATTATCTTTTCTTTATATGTGAAAAAAACTGAGTTTTCAATCTGGTGATTGTGATATGTCTTGAGTAATTGCAGGCTCTATAAAATCTATGGAAATGTAGGAGAAATCTTCCTTCCTTTTATCAAATCAAGCAAAATTTTCTATTACTTTAGCAATTAATGTTGAGTTTCTCATAAATATTCTCATACAGTTATTTCCTAGGTTGGTAGATGTGTGTTTCCGAACCCATACAAGGATGACTTATGAATGCTAACAGTAGCCCAATGCTAGTCGATAAAAATCTAAAAACATTGAAATAATAAAAAACCATAAAAAAACATTTTCACTTATTATTTGATTGTTAATATTATTTCCTTGTAATTGTTAAGATGATATATACATACCATTTTAATATTTGTCATTATGCAATGTTGCAAGTCTGCATGGATTAGATGGTTTGGACGCAAGAAATGTGTGTGTATAGATGATCTTTTGCAATGGCAGATAGGAAATGCAATGCAAAATACATCAAGTTTTTTAGGTCTTTAACCAATCAGAACTGGCCAACTCAAGGCCAATCATGTCATGTGTATGTCTTACATTAAATAGTTTTGTAGTTCTACACAATAAAAATTATATTTTATTTACATTTTATTTATATGCCAATTGGGCAGTGAAATATGATACAAATTTTATTTAAAGTGGTCCTCTCATGTTCCTTTTCTTTTCACTATTGAATAGTCCATTACTAAAAAGTTTGTTGTAAAAAAATTCAACACCAATTATTGTAAATATTGTATACGTGGAATTTCATTGTATTTTCAAGGATTAATGTTTTCTTAAATGTCCATAGTTTGTTGCAATATGATATCTAAGTAATGAAACAAAGCTCATATCAAAGGTATAGAAATATTATTTATTATTTCTTCTTGTAAAATATGTAAATAGTTATGAAGAAGAAGTAATTGGAATTTTTAAAATTCACTGTGAGCCTACTTGATACACTGTTTTCATGAAATATTGTTGTTGCAACTTACTTAATAATGACATTTGCCAATAAATAAAAGGACTGCATCAAATGGAAATAGATCATAGACAAACTATTTTTATTATGTGAATAATTCACTTGCAATTCAATTTAAATTTGAGTACATTAATTTAAGTCAATCTCATGATGAAACAGCTAGTTTACTACCACATTATTAAAGTTTGTATGTATTGAGGTGTTAAATTTTATAGCAACTAAATTTGAACTTGACAGATAAAAGTGTGCTTCATCCGCAGCAAAATATACCTATATATATTTATAAAACCAAAATCATCATCTCTATGATTACATTCAATAAAATCTATGGATTTTTATATTGAATGCTTCTCCATAAGAAATATAGAAATTATCAAATATTTTTAACTGAAATTGAATGAATTATTCAATTTCATGAATAGGTGAGATACTTCTTGAAGAGGTTATTGGTAAAATTGTAAATGTATAAATAAATGAATGCTGAAATGTGAGCTAGTATGATTGTCCCACTATCTAAGTAATCAAAACCTTATCTAATGACTCACTTCTGCTAAAATATTTACACCAATATGGCAAACAGATATTGGGGCAATTATTTTATATTATAATATGTATCAATATGAAGGATTATTTATCTGCTTGTATCTAACTACTCAATTCTAAATTTTTACTCTGTTCTTATTTCTTTATAATTGTTGTTCATTAAAAAATATGCAAGCAATGTTTATGCAGGTACTATGTTAAACATTTTGTATTACCATAAAAGCATAATAAAAAACTGTAATAACAATCATTAATGTTGTAATTTTTTTTATTCTCATTTATTGTTTACATGTTGCTTTTCTCTTATTTCCTATATATAAATATGAGAAACAGAGTAAAAACTTAGTTACATTTTAACTGTAAAAGATTTGTTTATACAAATAATGTACCCAACTGCATAACAGTTATGTACTTTTTCACCGTTTCCGTTTTCCTAATAAAAATGTTGAAATTACAAGTTTTAGTTTAAATTATGTTATATATAAATGCCTGCATATTTTGTTGTATATAATCCAAATAATAATATGAATTACCTGTTGTTTAGATTTTATATCACTAAATTGTATATTACACCAAGCCATAAATTTAGTAATAATTTTTTTTAGTTCTAATCTCTGCACTTAAGATTGAACATTAAAATTTGTAAAAATAAATAAATTAGTCTCAAATTAATGGCGCTCAATAAAAATGCGAACATTTAGGTTTTTGGAGGGAGCTGCTGTATTGTATTAACTTGAAACTTTTCCCAGCCACTAGGCCACCAGTGCTTTCCATTAATAACAATTCTTAAAGATGTACAATAATGATTTTTTTACAAACACTTCTTCCTTGGTACAATTTTGATAGATTTTTAGATGGACCATAGACCAACGTACCACCGTTATTTCTTGCGTAAAATAATTGTTTAGACTGCTTTAAAGCTTTTATTTTAGGAAGCACGAGTAAATAATATGCAGTTACATATCTCCACTAAATAGAATAACAATGTGCAGAAATTTGTACCACATTGATTCTACTAGCTAACATCTGTGACTACCTGAAGCGGGCTCAACGGCAGACTTTTCTATACTCATTTTATTTACATTGATTAAGTTTTTACTGCCGTAGTAAAGCTGTAGGGTTAACAGCATCTCGTTGATCACAACCATTTGCAATACAGATTACGCAAATGTAACAAAGCTTTATAACGTGTACGAGCGTTAACAGACGTTAGGTTACTTTACCGCACGTGAGCAGTCACTTGACGGTCTTGGACAGCAGACATTGTAACAAAACAGGAGATCAAAAAGGGTCGTCACAATTTTAATTAGGAATTGTGTAAAATAGCTATTCCTTACGTTTTTATAAACCTTTTTCTTCTTCTTCTTTTTCTTTCCTAGTAATATTTCAAGGAAGGTGAAAATATGCTAGATAATGAAACTGCATCATCTCCGACGTAATTTATTCTCATAATCAACATTATACAGATGTTATGGCTTCATATTTAAACCTCGTTCTATTATAATAAAAATATTAACAAATTATCTTACATACACTTGAAAATGTACAATTTGTTATATACCTTACAAAATATCCCAGAACTCTTACAAGCCAATATAAAGTGCAGTCAATTTAGCTTTAATATTTATTGTTATAACAATTCACACTGACATTAAGCTGCGTTTATTGCTACGCTTACCGTAACACTTTTCTAATAATAGTTGTGCAGCGAGATAAAGCACAAACATGTTGGTACCATGCGAGGTACCTTGCGCCTTGTCATTTGTTCCATCATGGATAATTTATAAGATTTATACAATTAAACAAAAAGTGGCTGATATAGATATTAAAAAATATATATAAAATCTCTGTGCCTATCTCCATTAAATCCTCATTTGATGGAGATAAGCACAAAAGATTTTTATGCACAATTTTGTTATTTTTATTGTTATTGATTTTATTCAGTTCAAACACAACAAAGAACAATAATAACCTTGTAAAAAAAAGAAGAAAACGCTATTGCAGTATATTAATTTGCAATCCAAAGTTTTGGTTTCTACAGCAGTGATAACAAAGATATTTCATCTAAATGAACAATTCAAAAAGGCCATTTTTCTCTCTCTTTTATTGATAATCGGCCGCCAATGAGGTAAGTCTCAAATATTGTATATAAAAAGCACCCGACATAAAGATTTGTTATGTTTTTATGCCATGTCTATAAATTCTACATTTTAATATCCGTGCGCCATAAAATTGTGGAGACGAGGAAAACGTATGAATACCATAGAAGTAGTGATAATATTATATTCATATTAAATTCATAATTACCATGGTATTTCTAATAAAGCACTATTGTATAAATGGGAGTTTGAGTACAATTGATTAAACATGTTCGTTGTTAATCAAAATCTCAGTTTGTATACTTTGAATCAATTCAAACGTACAGAACTGGATATTTAGGCCGAATGTCGGCCACAAATGTTTATTTGATATTAAAAGATTTTTCACATCACATCCAAAAGTAAAATTTTTTTTTCAAAACTGCGAATAAATAAGAAATAAAACTCTTAAATGTTTAACACAAATTATAAATATTCTGATAATACATATAATTACGTTTCACGAAATATATTTATCGTATTATTAGGAAAGATAAGATTCTAGCGTATTATTTGGATAATAGCGAGTTGGATTAAAGAATTTGGTGTAATAACAATAAATAGGGCAATCACACAATTTCCTGGAATGAATACCGAAAAAAAAAGTTTTAAACAGACCTATTTACATGATTAATATGTATGTACACAAAAACATACTGTCGCGAAAAAAATACTTTACAAATATGGAGCATAGGATATAGAGACATTTAAGGAAGTACTTATCAGTTTAATGGTTGTAAAATTAATATAAATTGATATATCTTGGTCTATACAAGGAACAAAGCTAAAGAAAATCTAGAGATTGAATTGTTAAGTGCAGTGCTGTGGCCCACACATTTTGCATGTCTAATGGAGGTAGGTTAGTCTGGAAACTTTAATCTATATATGCTTTGGAAAACACAAACAATTCAATTACTTTCTTTGTGTATCGCGAACGTGCGAGTAAAGAATAAAAAAAAATCTGGAATCGGCATGAAGTATCGTGGCAGACATGCAAAAGGGTTTTCATTTCTAACACCATTTTTTTTAGCCAAACCAGATCGAAAGCCAATTTCAAATTCAAAAAGCGTATCTTACGATAAAACACAACTCCATTTCAAGTTTGCAAAAGGGGTCGTCGACCTCGAAAGTTAGTTTATTCAGCGAGTAGGCACCTAGGAAAGTATTAAAAAACTCGTCGGCAATAATCGAAAGAGGTGAACTCACGATACGGCCGATTCGTGAAATGTGACGCAACAAGCAATTTACGCGGCCCAACGGGTAGTAGTTTCCAGAGTCGCAAAGCGCCGACGTGAACCGTCGGGATATGCCTCGTAGCGGGCCGGTCGCGTCTAGAAGATGTCTGGGCAGTCGGGCCAGTGGGCGCGCTGCTTGCACTCCCAGTAGCGGTGGTTGTAGAGGTGGCGGAGGTGCGCGTGGCCCGGCGCCGCCGCGCGCGTGAACCACTGCGGCTTCGGGGGCGCAGGCGCCGGCGCTCCGCTGGCGGCCGCCGCCTGCAACCACAGTTCAAATCAGGCTCCCTCTCCGTTTTTTTATGCGGGAAGGTGGCAAGCGAGCTAGCGGTTCGTTTGATATTAAGTGATAGATATCCCACGCCCATTGACATTTGCAACACTACTAGGGTTGCAGATGCAGCAGATAAAGTGGGCTCCGTTCACCTCACTCACCAGACTTTAATTGCCATGTGGCAGCATCTGTGGTTGGACCACACAGCAGCTTCGGATATAACACGAATGGGCAGGCTGAACAGGTAAGTACCATGGCAGAAGACCCACTTCAAGTGTACAAGTATTATACTTAAGCGTTTTGTCTGGTGAGTGAGATAATTAGGGGGATTAATTATTGCCTATTATTCTGTCAACGCGTCTGAGATGCGGTTGGGATGCAGTCAGCTCGCTTGGCAACTTTTCACATAGAAAAATAAACAGCAATAGAAAAGTCTGCCATTGTGCCCGCTTCAGGTAGCCACAGGTGTCAGCTAGTAGAACCGCCTGATCGCTCGACGACGCCTGCCGGTTCCGCGTCACAAGGGCGACATTTCCCATTGAACGGAGACGACGGTTGCAGATGTCCATAGGCTGGGGGAGGCATTTGCCCCTCTTTTGCCTTAAACAAAAAGAAGTTGCACCTCCGCCGCCGCCTCGAGCTCCCTGCGGGCGCCGCGCTGCTTCTCCTCTAGGCGCAGCTTCTCCGTGTTGGCGTCGTCCCAGAGGCCCTCCTCCATCAGCCGCTGGTCGGGGCGCCGCCGCGAGTCCGTCGGGGCCACGCTCTCCTCCGGCTCGTTCAGCTGGGCCGCCAGCAGGGTGAAGTTGTACCACCTGCAGTGTTCACCGTGACATTGATGAGATTATTTAATTTTTATTAGTGCCAATCTATGCTCGGGGTAGGGGCGCGAATTCCCAGACTTGTTTGGTTCGATTCCCACAGCGGCAAACGACTTTTCGTACTTTTTTCTAGAAATTTTAATAATTAGATTATCTCGCGACATCTCCCGTCACAAATATTCATCGTTGAATGTTATTTGTAAGGTGCTGTGTACTGTAAAGGATTCACTCTAAATAGCACCAAGCATTGAGTAAAAATGGTGGCAATGCATCTGAAACCCTATGGTTGTTGCAAATACGGGAGGCGGATATCACTTAAAATTAAGTGAACCGTCAGCTCGCACGCCACTGAATATTATTGTCAATCCAAATAGTTCGAGGACTATCCAACTAAGAAATAGCCAATATGTTGTGACAAATAGCTTTCTTTAAAGATTTATTTTCTTATATAGTACTTGTATAAAGAATGTAGACAAACTTACTACAAATATAAGGAATGTACTATTCCACAATATCACAAGTACATGTAACTATGTATGTTTTGTTACCGCAAATCATAAAATTAACATATCAATAAATATGTTCAAAACTGCACTTGTATGATGATATAATAAAACTTTTGCGCCTACCATGTTATAAAACAAACATGGGCACCACAAGTGCGTTACAAGCCTCCTAGAAGATGCGCCTCCAAATCCCTCATTGAGTTAAACATAGGCCTGTGCTACTGTGGCAGAAACAGCTGTATGGTTGTAATATAGTTAGGCACCACCTCTGTGTGGAGCCACTCACTTGTCTGAGTCCGGTGGGGCCGGCACCCGTTGCCATGCGACGGTGAACTTGCCAGTCTTGCAGACAGTGTTGTCAGCCGACGTGCTGGTCACCGCCGCCACCTCTACTCGATCATCCCAGTGCCCCTGAAGTACGTAGCGAGGCTGCAAGCAGACAAGATATTTTTATTGTTAATTATCATTTAACTATAAAACATAGAATCCCTTTTAACCCAAGTTTTAAAGTGTTTGTTATATGGAATCGCAGCAAGTTCTGGTAAGTCCTAGTCCTGATACACTGTCACAATTTGATTCACAGTACACTTTATAAAAGAAGGAAGAGAATGCCACCTAAAGAGACACCAATCACCAGATAAAACCAGTTGTTCATTGAAAGTTAATCAACACATTATTACAATATTATAAACTTACAACTCCCTGTGGATCCTTGATAACACCTGTTACTTTTCTCTGAGTGTCTTTACTGAAGTAACCATAGGGCAGATATTTGAGATGAGCAACATAGCCTGCTGCAGGACCGGATTCACCAATAATGTCCATATCACCATGGTTGTCAACCCACAGCTTACCCACAATTATATTGTGTACAGTTGTAGTAACCTAAAAATAAAAAATACTATAAAATGTATTCTATAGAACATTTTTCTTTTTACTATTTATTCATTGCCCCTGATTATATCACTACTATATAAGTTTTTAAGCTATATATGGATTCAATTGAAACCACTCAACAATTAATATTATAAAGAATGACTTGACCCATTTTGATTTCCATTTACCATTCATCATACACTCAAAACATAATGCCAACATAACTAATTATATACAATGAGTGAATGTGTTGTGTCAATTGTCTGTAGGCTTTAAAAAAGCGTAATTACCTTTCTCCATGTGTATTTATTTCCTGAACTGGGAAACATTGCCGAGGCGCCACCGAGCGGTATAACCTGGAGGTATTTGCCACGGAACTTGGTAGTCATTGTGAACTCCTGCCAGCACTGCCATCCTGCCTGGCCCTCGCAGAATTGGGCCACCATCGGGGGATGATGTGACACCTGGCAAAGAGGAAAATAATTTAATAACCTTGATAGGAAAGGAAACATAGCCAGAATCCAGTAGATTAAAAAAGCATTAAAAATGCTCAAAAAAAGGTGAATCCTATCAATTCAATATATCACCATGTCATTGATTAATTTTAGTATTAGAATTCTTGTAGTTGTGAACAATTCGCAATGTTGCACAAATTATCATTAGAATCGCTTGAAATAGCTTGAATATGCAATTGTTTAAAATGTGTTTTAAAGAGCCTTTCTTATTAACATTTAAGCCAGAGAGTATCTCATACATAATTCATTTAATATATGAGCTTAGCTTAGTATTAAATCTTGCAGAGTCTAATAAAAATTACAACAAAATGTAATGATATTCACCAAAATTCCATGTACTTAAAACTAAGTTAAAAATCTGCAAGTTTGTTTACAATATGCACAAATCTACTTTATGGCAATATCTTGCCCAAAGCCTTATTGCTAAAAGTACAAAACCAGCTTATGAAATCCATAAATCTAAATTTAACAAATAAATGTTTTATGAAACACAGTATGGAAGTTAGAGGTACTTTAATGACAGTTAAAAAAAGAGAAAGTCTTATCAAAATGTAATCAAAATCACTCACCTGTTCGGATATCGCTCTCCAGCCTAAGTCCGCCATTCGATCGCATTCGTAAGTTTCACCAAGCAGTGGATTGAAAGGCTTGTTAGTTCTAAAACATAAACAACATTAGCAAAGTAGACTGTAGTATGCCAATAAAAACAAATTTCGAAAAGAAACAGACATTTCTCAATAATCTAAGCACAAACCATCAAGTTTCTTGGTGCATATATTTGGCTAACAAAATATGTGTCCAGGAACTAAATAGCAAAAGTATATAAATATTCAACTCATGTGTTCAGTGAAGACATCAGACTACTGACTGCTGACCTTAAGGTCATATCTAATACTGATTGACGTCAAAACAAATTAAAACTAAAAATAATATCGAAGAGCTCTTCCTATTTCATTTCATGATTAATTGAATTTTATCATCAGGTTTGGATAAAGATTGAAAAATAATATAAATGGTCTAAGCAAGGTAAGTGTAATATTAAGACACTAAATTTTATCTACTACCTGCGTCTTGTACAATTCAATAAATGACATTAAACATTTAATATAGAAGATATATATATATCTCATCATCATCAACAGCCGTATGACGTCCACTGCTGACATAGGCCTCCCCCTTAGAACGCTACAATGAACGACACTGCCATTTGCATCCTCTGGTTGGCCGATGTTGTTGGTCCACCTAGAGGGGCCTCCCACTAGGTCGACCAACACTACCTCTTTCGGTTTGTAAAGTACATGTATTATCTATAAAATGTTATACTATAATATTGCTATGCAGCACATAGGCCGATTCATCCATACATCAACATTTGTGATATTAAATGTATTCTAGTGCACATTGTGTGCACATACACTACTAGCAACCCTGTAACTAGTTGCATCACCGTAATTGTTACCTGCAAGCTGTGGTAGCGTAAGAAGACACAGTGAAAGCAGCAACATATGCAAGCTGCTGTGCTGGGTCAGTGAATGTAGCTGCTTGGTCTAATATTGAAGAGTATTCATAGTCCTCCGTGAGCCGTTGCAACATGGATAGTGGCTCACTAAAATTGACGGGGATGGGAATCTTCGACAGTTCCTTACCTAGGTAGAAATAAAATATAATAAATTTAAGTAACTAATTTATAGATAGATGTGCCACTTGGTGCCAGATAGTTGTTTATTAACCAATCTGAATTAGTGACTTCAATTTATTGAAATGATTATTGTTAAGGTTTGTCTACTCATCATTCTCCTACCCCAGGCTAAAAGAAGCAGTAATTAAATTTCTTGATTTTCACTCGCCTGCCTGACTTTAATAACCTTTCTTGGGAGGGGAATAATAATTTTTTTTGGTTCACACTAAAGGTTCTACTATGAGACAATCAAACTCAAACACCCAGATACAAAGCCAACCGGCACCAACAGTGAGTTAAGTTTTTTATGAAACTTTTTTTAAGCCTATTTATCATCTAGTACATTTAAGACTGTCAGTTGAATTTGCCTAGCCTTTCTAGTAAACAGTTGAAATTACCTATACAGTTTTTCATAATAGACCAGAGACTCAGAGGATAGTTGGGTTTGTCAGGGACTCGCGTGCGTCGCGGATGGCCGTCCACCATGCTTACAGGAACTTGTGAGACGTGAGGCTGAAACAACCAAGAAGACAAAATTAAAGCTAGTCAAACTAAGAGTAGTCAAACTAATAGTGGACAATTTTTAACAAAAAAAATAATAAACACTTCATAAAATTACATTCTAAATCAAAATTCTTTTGAAAATTAACAAGTTATACACTAAATATGTTTTAAATGGCTAAAAGGCAAAGCAATAAATAAAAATTTTAAGATGAATTTTACATATAAATTATTTTGTATAACCTTAACTTTTTGAAACACGGAAATATAACTTACCCATATCACAATATTTTGCTCCTTGTTGTCTGCTTGTTTATTGATATTAGCATCATTGTCAGAATTTGCTTCTGTGCCACCCATATTGTTTTCTCCACGCTCCTTATCTTCTACAAATATCACCTATAATGAGATGATTACTAAGTAGAAAAAAGTACAACTTGGAAAATTATACTAAGTGCTACTTAATATAGTAAGTATGTAAAATATAAATTATTAAAAATCTTAAAAATTTTGGACAAGGAAAAACGTAGTAATGAACTGTAATCAAAAATATTTGTTAATTATCAAATTATTGGAGATATTTTTCTTAAGTACTAATAACATAAGCACACTTTAGTCCATTTTATTTATTTACCTGTTGAGTTTCTGTCACCGTTTCACCCTCAGATTCATCAGAGCTTTCACCACTCTTAACTTTATTTTTCCTATTTACCTGCAATGCGAACAATGACACTAATGTGTGTAAAGTTGTGTTGGAAGAGTGCAAACATAATATGTCTTCAAAACTAATGCACACATAGTATTGTTAAAATTAATCACAATGAAGACTAAACATGAAAGGAGAAAATTAGTCATAAGATAAGAGCAACAATGAATAGATACACACTCACAGGCACTTTGATTACAAATGAGTTCTTATCATCCATAGCAGCGGTGACATCCTCTTCCACTGCATCGAAGAATTCATGGTCCTCATCCTCTGTATCGTTACCCTGTCCAGAACCGTTCCCACCTGTTAAAAAAGGTTTTCGGTCAATGCATTCATAAACATAAATGATATGCTAAATTAAAGATTATAACAGTACATCAAAAAGTCATTTACAATCAATTTACAGTACTCTAATAAATATTTACATTATAGATTTATTTACATCAAAAACAAATATTATTTAACACTAATTACAGCTATACTTTAAACCAGAATCATTAACATTATATATAATAGATTGAAGTATACATCACTTTGGGTATTTCCAAAAAGTATATTGTAAATGTATGTAACACATTGATGAAAAAAATTACTCATATCTTGAACAGGTGAGTCTGAAAATTGTTTTATTAATTTATGTTTCAATTTTATACAGATATTAGACTTCTTTAGAAATATTTCCATTTGGTTTTTAGGGAAAACAAGTAAAATAGGAATGTTGGAACAATGGTAACATTGCTAGTGTATTGTCTTAGAGCTTTTTTATAAATACTGCTACTAACACTAAGAATTCCTCCTCTAAACCTTACCTAATCATTGAATACTACAATACACGTGAATTTAAGCGCACAGTGGTGTAAAATTTTATGTTTTTGGTGTTTTTAAAATTTTGTTATGTTTTGTTCTTAACGAAAGCCTTTATTAATCTAAAAACTCAGAGGGTAAGTCTCACACAACATTTTCCTGTTGCACTTACCGCACAAGATGTTTAAATACATGTTTTAGTACTCAAATTATCATAATAATAAGACCCATACATCACTTGCGTTAAGCGATTACAAGGCCAAGATCACTGTGGACGCGTACAATACAAACACTCCTATACTATAACACATCACTATAACCAAAAGTTCATTCTTTGCACAAATCAGACGATAATTAAATAAACGAATGCGTAACAACTACAAAACACCTATAATTATGTTTCTTGCGAATAGAAAACCTTGAGGTCGTAAAATTGTTTTGATGTAATTGTGGTAAGGTGATATTTCGTACATACCAATGTAACCTAAGGCGTATTGACACACATTTTATAATACACTAAAAGATTTTATTTTGACTAACAACAAAACAAAGAGTTTAGTTTCGCAACTCGTTTTGCTTTAAATGACCGATTAGATTTCCGTCACCATGTCACCATAATGCGAGATAGCGTTCCGTTTCACCGTTCACATGTTTCTCGATGTTGCCATCACCATTTTATATTGTATAGCACCAATGGCAAAATTTTTAAATAAATATTTTATTAAAAATAAGCAATAACTTGATATACCCATGACTTCATTTGCGCCTTTTTGACATTTACCTATCATTCCAAGTGGATAAAATTTTGAAACGAGTCGCCTTCGTAGGGGGTCCGGGGATAGGTGGGGAAGGGCGATGTGGTGAGTACCCCCCCCCCCCCACCCGCTGGAGACGCATAGCTTTTTTATTATACAATTTTTAATTTTATTTATTTAATACAATCTAATAAGAATGGGAGGGTTCCCCTCCTGTCTGTTGTTCTTAACCACACTTAACAACAGAAGCGCTAATGGGTGGTTATAAAAAAATAACCACGAAGGTTAGAACCTTCTAACCTAATCTGTCCGAGTATGATTGCTCTGTGTCAGATCAGCAACTCATTTAATTAAAAAAATTTTGATCGAACAAGTGGTACGATTATGAAGTCTCCCACTTCCTATATTTATCATGTTGGCAGTACTATGTATGCAGTTTTATTAAAATTAATAAAATGTGCGTACTTTCTTAGTGAAAATAACAAGTTTTAAATAATTTTTTTTCTCGTAAACTGAATGCGACCAGAGTTTTCTGCTTGTTGATTAATTCATTAGTGATTTTTCTCTATCGTTTAAATTTTTTTTATTATTCGCTTCTTCGAAAACACTCTGAAATTTATCAAAATTACGTTTCGTTTCACGTTTCGTAAGATTTTTAAATTTAAAAAAATAGCTAACTAAATTTACATTTGAGTGCTTGGTACGAACCTCCTTAACCACCCCAAACTTACAGTGTACTTGAATTCGGGCGACTCGATTCAAAATCCAACCCTTCCAAGTAGTTTAAATAATCCGTTATCAATAATAATTGCATTTAATGTCTTTTTCACAAATAAAGAGTACTGGCACAGGGAATAAATATTTCATTATTTACTTAACGCAGTTTACTTGAATTCTATATTTGCGAAACAAGCGGGTTCAACGCTCACTGCTTATCCCACTTTGACTCTTTGTGTCTTTTAGAATGCGAAATTTATCCATGTAGAGCGCGAAAGGTAAAGGTGAGAGACATGAACCTTGAAGAACGCCCGATATAAGAGATAATGTGTGCTGTCGGATGGTAGGGGCGGGTTTGACTGGCATTTTGAGTGTGTAACGCTTTTAAAGTAAGCCATTGTGACAAATTCTGTGAAACAATTTTGCGACAGGGACAATAACAGTGAACCTGTATAAGTGATAATGAGTCGTGATAGCTCAGTGTTCGGGCGCTCGCCGTTAATTCAATTTACACGAGCAACCTGAGTTCGATCCCCGGTGCCGGCACCAATGAAATTGTTAATTTTAAGTGCGGACTTGAAGCTCGTAGTTGCTCAACGGTGAAGGAAAACATCGTGAGGAAACCTGCATATTTTCGAAATATTAATTTTAAAAAATATTTCGAAACTATGTGAAGTCCGCCAATCCGCAGTGGGATCACGCGGTGGACTATGCCCTCCTTACAGAGGAGGCCTTTGCCCAGCAGGGGGACATTTACAAGCTGTTACTTTACTGTTTTAGTGTTTTAGGCACATTGTCTTTTAGAATGTACTTCGTTAGGCGAGAGTTTTTGTCGGTCAAAAGACGAAGACTCTGGCTAAAATACGTTTGTGAGTAATCATATTCCGGCAGCCTGTTGAAAGTACGTGGCTCGAAAGGTTCCCCATACAATTGCTGTTCGCAATTGCTGTTCAGTGGGCCTCAAAAACATTTTGGGATGCCAAATTTGCCACTAACGATTCCTTAATATTTATATGAGATTAACTGATAAATAATTTCGTTGGAAAAATTTTAGTTTTTTATTGGTAATCTTATTTTTTAAGTAAATTCTAACTTATTACTAAGGAATTAGGAGTGAAAAACAAAATAAATACTTTCATATGTAGTTAGAAATATCTCTTTTAATATATCTTTTAAATTTCTCTCTAAATCACTCTTCATCAATAACAATATAAAAATAATCACTCTTCTATGACATGACTTTCATGCCTTCTCATAATGTGCCCATACCATGCCAACCTACCACTCCTTATTCTTTCAGTCATTGGTGTCACTTTCAAGATTTCCCTTATATACTCATTCTAGATCTTATCCTTTCTGGTCACACCACACATCCATCTTAACATTCGCATCTCTGCCACATGCATTTTCCTTTTATTTGTCTCTTGCTGCCCAACATTATGACAGGTCTCTCACCTTAACAAACGCAACATTTTCACAAATTAATATATTTGCGACGCCTCGCAAAAACTTATAATATATGAGGGCATTTTTTACTTAAACAAGTTTATCCGAAAAAATCTTAAATATAAATCCAACAAAATTATGTTCAGGGAAATGTAATGTGTAATTTATATGTAACAAAATGTTTTTCACTTCATCGGGTAGATTCTTATTTCTTATAGAAAAGAACCACGCAATCGAGTACTTATTAATTTACAGCGTAAATACAGCGAAATTTTAATAAAACGGTGCAGTTATAAAAACATATCTCATCATTTTTATCCCAAATTTACCAGTTATTCTTGTAAAGATTAGTTGTAAGCACATTACCACAATAAAAAACTTTGTCATGCTGGCAGAATCACGCGACAGGTCTTAAGGCTGCCTATACGACGGCCTCATAGAAGGTTGTAATAAAATATAATAGTTTGCGATTCTTTTACAATGGCAATGGAAAGACCACGCAACGGTGGTTAAGGCGGATCATACTCATCTTATTTTATTAACCAGTGCTTGACAACCATCTTGTTTCGGTCCTCTTATGAAAAAATGACTGACTGACCCATGACTGGCAGATAAGAAACATTTAAAATTATTTTCAATTCTATATGCAAGTACACGCTATAATAACGTTCACCTAGTGGAGAATTTATTTATAGAGTTGCGAAAATAGAAATAATTACTTTGCTTCAATACATATGGGGTCATTTGTTATCACACACAGTAGTGTCACAATTAGAACACGTTATTGAGCCTTAAGCTGTAAACGAAATAATAAACGCAATCTGTCTCCACGGGGGAAATAACGCGATATAAACGTTGGACATGGAACAAGCTTCCGGCTGCCGTTTTCAAGTCGTAACACCCTTCCCTGCCGTTCACTTACCCGCGTGCGGAGTGCTGCGGGCCGTCACGGTCTTCTCGAGGGTGTCATGCTGCCTCGCCAGCTGTTCAACCACCTCCTGCAGGCGCATCTTCTGTTCGCGCTCGTGCTGCAAGGCGCGGCTCATGCGGGCGCTCGAAGCCGCCGCCGCGCTCATGAATTCCGAACAGGCCTATCGAGGGAGTAGCCGATAGTTATTGTTTGCTACATTATAGCACAATCATACTCATAGACACTAGAGAATCGGGGTCGCAATGTTAAAATTGAAATATTGTGCACTAGTGAGTACGAATACTAGGACAATTAACGTGCACTGCCTGATATTTATTTTCTATAGAGCTAGAGAACATACTTAGCATTACTTGAATATAAATCATGAAATTTGTTTAATATTAATCAGATTTACATGTATAAGTTGAAGCTATAATTCTTTTGTTCCAAAAATATACTTGTATGTTTTCTTAAAATATTTCTTCTCTTAAACCAACTAAATTTAAATTATTCAAATACCTGCCTCCTCCGTAAAATAGTTTTTTATGATCATGTTAATATGTTAGTCTAAATATCATAGTTATTTAATGATGAAACAATACTTAGCATCCAGGATAGTTAACTACAGATATAGTGAAACATTTATTGTCCAACAGGCTAAGTTGAAAACAATTCACATCAGTATAATAATAGCTAAGGATAATTTTGTTATATTGATCATTCTATGTTTGGATCTGAGCAAACATATTTAGTAACTGAAAATTCAACAGAAAAGCTTGACTCATTATTTAGCAGTAAGAAAATTTATAATTCATTTAAAATGTATGAATTCTTTTATATAATATGATAGAATGTTGTCCCTTACAATAATCGAGATTCTTAAATTATTTTCTTTCCCATGATGTTATGTGCTGCTTATGATTAGTACTTACATTCATCATAGCATTGCATGATATTCGAAAAAGTGTAGCCCTCTCGGAGACTTGTTTAGTTGTATCAGTGGGTGGAACTTCTAAATCAACAAGAGACCTCTGAAGAGCTGCTCCATGTCTTGCAACTAATTCAGAACAAGTCCTCAAGTCGTGAAAACGGGCTGCTAGTTCCCTCGCAATACCGCCGGCATCTTCAGTTTCCCCTTCACCTCCTCCAACAGCTACTGGACCAGTCGCCATTTGGTCTTCATCATCATCAGATTCTTGTGCTCGACTATGAGTTAAATAAGAATTAATAAGATGCATAAGAAACTTGATCTGAATTGATTATACTTGAAGTTATGAGCTACAAATATCTATTAAACTAAAAACCATATATCTCTATCAAGGCCAAATAACATTATGTAGCTAATTAGTTATTCAATTCCTTTTCTATTGATTCATTTAATCAAAAAAACATTGTTTAAAATTATTTCTAGATTAAATCACACAGAATGTTATAACATGTTGTTGATGTGAGTAGCTTTGATTTAATAAAATTTTGAAAATTAAAGTACACTGTAACCAAATTATCTAATATCATTGGTGGTCAACAGATACTAACATAGCTTTTGCTTTAGCTAGCTCCAGTGCAGTGACCCAGCTTTGTCTCTCCACTTCATCATGTGCTCTAATGTGGAATGTCTGTGTACCACCATTACTGATGACGAATGTACAAGAGTCAGCTGTGTGAATCAATGCACCTAATAATGATATTGTTCCACGACATGTATGAGCCATCTCTGCTTGATTTCTGCAAATAAATTAACATATACTTTATAATGATCATTGATATACAAGTACTAATTATCTAATAATATTTTTAATCACTTCATATGTGTAATTTTTTTCAGGGAAGAGCATATATACAAAATATAAACCAGAATATGTCTCAATTATACAAGTTATACAGAAAAATACTATTGAAGTTTCCTTAATCGCACCCAGACGCTTTAAGCCACACCAACGAAAATCTCAACATATTTTTCTAAACCGTTTTTTTTTCGCATTTTAAGCAATGAAGGAATTACTAAGAAATGTGAATTTCTATATAGAAAGCAAATAAAATATACTTTATAATATATGCAAATTATTATATGTTCAAACATTTTTTCCAAAGGATCTTAATAAATTATGATGTTTAAAATGTGTACATAAATTTTCAGTGTATGATCATGTAAAATATGAAATGCTGGTAAATAGTCAAAATTTATTTGTAAATAAACTTATGTTTCATGTCATTAACATGGAAAAAAATTACCTGATATTAAAGTACTTTTGACATGTTATGTAATTTGAATAGATATTATAAAAACATACAATTTATCATTCCTTATAACATCATATTAACATTAAGTATATATTTCTAAAACTGAATGAGCTGCCATGTATTATGTACAATAACTAGTTTTTGTGGTGAGGTGTTTTTATATAAAATAGACAATTGTTTATTGCATTCATTACATTATTAAAGACAATCAAGTACACTTAAAATTCAATATGTTAGATTTTTATAAAACTCGGAACTTAGATAAAAATAGGAAAAATAATAAATGTGACTAATAAAATGTTTAAGGTAAATATAATATAACTAATATATCATTATTTGTAAATTATTAAATCACCTCTAAAAGAAACTGAAGTACGAAATTATAAATAAATTATAAAAAACTTTTATTTCACCTGTAGTACGACAATAATCCATTTGACAACACGAACCATCTTCGTTGATATCCCTTAAGATAATTAGTCCATTTAAACAGCCAACCTTTTTTTTCCGGATCCCCCGGGACAGGTTGACCCTTGGGTACAATAGCATCCGACATTTTTAATAATCACTTTACATAGACGTAGAAATCATAATATATTATCCGACCGAGCCACGTTCGTCGTCCACCATAATCAGAAAACGTTCAGTAATTCAGTATGGTAGGGTTGCCTTACTATTACCATTACAGTACAGTTTACACAATATAATCGTTAAACTTGCATACATTTTGTACAATAGTTTTTGGAAAATGCTTAAACTCAAATCAAACATAACCTTAGGCATTTATAGATCTTGTACATTAATTCACAACTTTTAATCTATGCATATTATCACAGTTAATAATAATTATAAAGTTTACTATTACTTGCCATCGTACACCCAGGTGACCTAGGTACTATTTCACAAATATTTTTTACGACAAATATATACTAAACATTATTTTTATTTTTATTACAATGCCATTTTTAGAAATACAAAGTTTTTGGAGTTGACAATCCTATATAATGTCATTGTTTTAATTTATAACATTTCTTTTCTTTATGCAAACAAGTTAATAAATCATTAAAGTTAATATCAGTGTTATAATTTAATAATAATAAGTTATTCAATAATTATAAGAACAAAGCAAATTTAAGAACAAAAAGCAAATACTAAAGTAACGACGTATCTTAAAAGACTCATATCCACGAAAGCATTACGTTAAAAAAACGAGATAGAAGTAAATATTTAACCTGTGCACATTTTAAAAATGTTTGTATTCGGCCGCTATAATATCTTGAACAAGGTTGTAAAGTGTTTTGTTCAAGGTAATTCCTTTCCCTTCTAATTCAAATTCATTCTATTATTCTTCTATTGGTTCTTCTGTTATTACTCATATTTTGTGTAAGGCAAAATTTCTATACGTTATCTCTTATCTTTATAGATCAGTTGTTTATAAATAGAGTGATGGGAAGTTCGTATTCAAGATCGTATTCGCCCAATTGTGGGGTAAATAAAAATGGAAACGAAAACCGTAAGTAATCATAGAAAATAAAAATACGTAAAAATTATGTCTTTGAAGTTATCTTTATTACATAAATTGTTTAATAGTAATAACAATTTGTTCTATAAAAATAGCGAGGTAATTTTGTAGTTTTAAAAACAAGTAATTTTGTTTAGAAATGATGGGGCCCTAAATATTTTTTTTATGAAAATGCCTATTAAAACCTACCTATTAAGAGTTTCTTATTATTTTTGTGTCGTCAGATTCGTATTTATTGTGAGAGTTACACTGGGTATATCAAAATAAAAAATTACACAGAAACGCAGTTGGGTTTTTTAGTTTTTAAATTGTATTCTACTTGTTAATTCTTCCCTTTACCAGGAATAAAATAAAATAAATTCAACATAGTTGTTTATAAATGCAATACAGCATAGCTCAACTCAAAAGAATTAGTTAAGAATTTAATTAACTTAGAAGACCAATGTTTTGTGTTCATTAAAAAAGCTCAGAGCCAGTCCTAGTCTTTTTTCAGGGTAGATTGAGATTGTCTTTCAGCCCCCTTTAATTGGTGCTTCTTCCCTTTGCATAAATCTTCTTTTCAAGTCAATTTATTGCAAGCATCAACACTTATTGAATTTAAATAACATCAAGTATTTTTAGTTATTATACCCTTCTTACGACTGCTTCTTTAACATTGATAAAGTTTCTACTGCTGCATAATTGAATTGAACTTTTGTGTTAATTTTTAATTAGCAACTGAATAATAAAATTTGTAATCTATGTAGGTATTTTTATAACTAATTGAAGAAAAATGTTACATCACATTTGTTATATAAGTTGAAATAAAAATTGAATAGTCCTAATTATTATGTTTCTGCTTTTTCAAAATTAACTGGGATTAGTGTTAATTTATAACAAATTAATAACAATCTTACTAATTATAATAATAATTAAATTAGTATTTGTTCTTATTTTCAATTGGTCATTAAATAACAAAATATGTTTCCTAGTATCCTAAAGTTGCCCTGCATCATTCAAAAATTATTTTTTTTTCATTTGATTTTTAATGCCCCTTGCTACGCAACTCCTCCCCTAGGCTGGCACAACAACATTCCTATTAAAACCAAGATTTGGGGCCAATTAAAATACATTATTGTGGTTTATTTATGTATTCTTGTATTTATAATTACTAAGTATTTATAAGTAATAGTTATGAACTATTACTTAATAAAACAATGAACATTTTTATTCACAACAGGTGGAACAATATCACGTACTGAGTCCAGCAGCCAGTATGTTGAATCGGTTGTTTGCAAAGCAAATGACCTGAAAGAAAATGAAATGAAAGTGTTTGATATTGGGGAGGAAGGAAAGGTATTGCTCGTAAAACAGAAGGGTGAATTTAGTGCTGTGGGGACAAAGTGTACTCATTATGGGGCACCTTTGGTGTCTGGAGCGTTGGGAGATGGAAGAGTGAGATGTCCATGGCACGGTGCATGTTTCAATTTAAAGACTGGAGATATTGAAGACTTCCCTGGATTTGATTCCTTACCATGCTACCAAGTCACAGTTACAGAGAAGGGAGAAGTTAAGGTGGGTAAATTTAAACTTCTTTCTGATATGGTAATGATGTTGCATTATTATATTCTAAAATAGGGCTAGCACAGCCTGCAACATGAAAGGAATGTTCTAGACAATATGCCAAATTCACAAGTTTTCCATACTCACAATTTTGACTATTTGCCAACCCTGTAATGAAAAGTGCTGAAATGTTTTTAGTAAATTTTCGAGTTGAAACATTCATTCACTTGGATCACTGAATGTGATCTTTCACTTCTTATCGTAATGGGTAAAATTACAAATACTTGTGGCACACCTTTTTATGTTCCTAATCGAAGGTAAAAATTGTTTTATCATTGGTTGTATAGTGGTTACGCATCCCAACGATTGTTGAAAGTTACCGATATTGATCAGTTTCGCATTTCATATAATTGGGGCCATCCATTAATCACGCGAGGTCTTTTTTAGCATTTTTAACCCCCTTATCCCATATGGTGATATGTGGTGATGTTTAAGGCTACATACAAAATCACGCGTATTTTTAGTACCTACGAAGAATCTTAAAATTCTTAGAATATTATCTTTAAATACTAGTTTAGACTATACTTTAATTTTATTCTGGAATTAAGGACCATGATAAAAATGTAACAGTGAGTCAGGGTCAGACTATAGGTACACTACTTTTCGGTTTAGAAATCGCGCGTTTGGCGAAAAAATAAATACACGTGATATCTTAATACACCCCCCACCGCTCTTGCGATATTTCGTGATTTTTGCAAAACACGCTCCCCTCCCCCCCTTTCGTGCCTCACGTGATTAATGGACGGCCCCTTCCCACATGATTAGCGCGAGTTAATTTGTTGCGGATTTCAAACCTGCGTCTTGTGGTTTCGCACCCAGACGCTTTATTAACTGAGTTAAGCGGCTGAAATCTTGACATCTATCTACGTTCGTTCTATTGCATTTTTAGCAATGCACCATATTAATATACACGTACAAAACTTGCAATTTATGTGTGAACAGTTTAAAGTCTAATTATTTTGTGTCTGTTCCATTATTTTATGACGCGTTTGATTATTTTATGTAACATTGCTATTCGTCGTAAATGGGAGGCCCATCGTTCCCCGTCGAGAGTAATTGGTTGAAGGAAAAATGTTTTTTTTTACAAAATACAGTCACAACAAATCAAGTCACAAAGAGCATTTTGCTGTAAAAGAAGTAAAAGTAAAAGCCTATACATGTCCCACTGCTGGGCAAAGGCCTCCACAGTACAAAGGGTATCAGGGCATAGTCCACCACGCGCACTGCGGATTGGTCAACTTCGCATATATTCGAAATATATTTTGTTATTATTTCGAAAATATGCAGATTTCCTCACGATGTTTTCGTTCGCCGCTGACCACGTGATAAGTCAGCACGTACAATTAACAATTCCTTAAAAAAATCATTGGTGCCGGCGCCGTGGATCGAATCGGATAGCTCAAGTTAATTAAAGTACCAAGAGGTTTGTTTTTTTTTTTTGGTAAATCTTGTATTTTGGAAATTACATTTAGATACAAATTACTGAGTAATGAAATTTGCATAATATTTTTCGATCTTGCCGACGTAATAATAAGAAAATATGAACTGATGTTTTTCACAAAAGAAAGAACTTTAAAAAAAAGGGAAAAAAATAACAAAATAACAAATGGACAAAAAATTTAAAATAAAGAAAGCAATGATCTGGAATTGAAAAAAAAGTAAAAAATAAATGTGTAAATGATCGTGACGCGAACCACGGCTGTCTGTTTTGGGACCGCCCGATTACCGACCGAGCTATTATGACATTTTCTCTTGCGGCGAAATTTACCGTCATATTCGAATTATATTTTTCATTCCCTGAAAACAGGGATAAAAGGACATTTTCTAAAAATGAAACCTAGCTAGATCGATTTTCCGCCCCGGAATCTATGCACATACTAAATTTCATGAAAATCGCTGGAGCCGTTTCCGAGATTCCGATTATATATATATATATATATACAAGAATTGCTCGTTTAAAGGATAAGAACATTAAAGGCGAGCGTCCGGACACTGAATTATCACGACTCTGTCGAAATTCGAAATTCAAATGAAAAGAAACGTTCGGCGAGATAAAGCGTTGTGTGTAATACAAATGCAATTGGAAAAATACCGACCGCATTTCAATTTGCATTCTGCGAGAGCAATTTCCGAAGCGCCCAGCATTCTCCGTCATACTGGGATGGAATATTAAACGTCAGTGGACCGGATCATTGTTGGTTTTCTCTCATTCTTGTAATCGAAATGCTGTTAAATCTTCATATAAATTTGACAACCGGCCAAGTGCGAGTCGGACTCGCGCACGAAGGGTTCCGTACCATTATCTACATAAACCACAAAAAAAATGACTTCTGTTGTATGGGAGCCCCACTTAAATATTTTTTTTTCTGTTTTTAGTTAGTATCTGTTGTTGTTATAGCGTTATAGTGGACTAAGCCCTAATACCCACCAACCTTCCATACAGATGAGGCCTTTTGCCCAGCTGTGGGACGTTTATCGGCTGTTCCTTTAATTTACTTTACTTTTACTGAAATATCTAAATTTTAAGACCCCAAACCGTAACAAGTACAAAGACTGATCCAATACATCAATAGCAAGTAGCAGTCTAAGACATCGGTATTTTTTTAAATTTTACACACAATCTCCTATATTTTTTATGTGAAAAGTTGCCAAGCGAACAGGCGAGTGTTAAGCACCTGATGTTAAGTGAATACCGACGCCCATGGACATCTGCTACACTCGAGGGTTTGTAGATGTGTTGACAACCTTGTAAAAAATGGGCCCCCGCTACCTCGTGCGCCAGACGAAACGCTAAAGTATTATACTTCCACTTTACGCCGGTCTTCTGTGAGGTCGTGTTACTTCCCCGGACGGACCTGCCCATTCGTGCAACAGTCGAGTCTGTTGCGTGGCCCTACCACGGTCCACAGTTCTATGCAGCGTGCATAGAAACTTTCTACTGTTTGTTGGCGTTTAGGTTGCATCTGCTTATTTATGTTAATACAGTGAAAAGATCTACTATAGTTTAATATCAATGTCTAAAGCATTGATAATAAACTATGGTAGTTCTTCAATTGACCAACTATAGTAAGATTCAGTGAGGTCTTCTTGTGATACAAAAATTCATGAACACTCTTAGACTGTGGCGTGTTGAGATATATAAACACATGTCAACATGTACACGAATTCATAACTACCCTACTTCTAGATTCGGTCGGTTTGATAAAATCCATAAAAACAAAATCCATAAAATAGTTTCATTTAACATAGAGAACTATATTATATCATAAAATAGTTTTATTTTACATAGTACAAAATTGTTCATATCTAGCTAACTATGGCTTTGTAAATACCGACGGCCTTCGTTTGCTATAACGCAGCGTGAGCCAATATATTACTCACAGTCTTGTTAGTCACCCGCCAATTAGTTCTAAGTCGTAATCGTAAACGCGAAAGAACTAGAAAATGTGTAAATAACAAAAGTGTTCACAAATTTATCGATCGATGCTGTACGTACTCCTAATATAGTTGGAATAAAATTCTTCCATGTAACGGTGGATAATCCAAATTATAATATTATAGTATAATTTCACGTAGCAAAAATGCTGTCGGCTATGTAATGGTTTGATATTTATGTGTGGAGATGGTTAAGAGGCTGATGAGTGGTATAGGATACTTAGCGCGGTAAAACATCTCATTCCCATGGGAAGAATGAAGATTCATTAGGATGCGTATTTGACTCGCTTCATTCTAAAAATACCAAGTGTGTTGGTCCTTCTTTAACTTCGTAAAGGATCTACGGATTTATGTGACTTAATCCATATCCATATTAATATTATATATTGATTACGATATGATAAACAATCATGTGAATGATACAGAACGTATGATACGAAAAGATATAGCAGTCCATAGACTTGCAATCTAATTTCACCAATTAGTGTAATTTGAGTGCCTCTTTTTCGGTGCGCTGGTGTTGTATTTGAATATAATATCATTGGATTCGAATAAATTTTCAGACAAGTCATATCAGTTGTAATTACGCATAACAACAACCAATTAGAAAGAAGGTTGAGTGATCGCAGAAATTTGTATCCACCTAGTATAAACCTAGTTGGTCCTAACGCGTTTTATTAACCGCTCATATAAAACTAATGGTTCGTTCATTCGAGATTACGGTGTGCACAATACGATAAAGCACTATTCCAGTTGAAAGTGGCGTATGTTCATTATTTATTAAACGTGCGAACAATAACCGATGAAGTCATACTGTAATACTGTAAAGTGTCTAATTTTGTTCTGGTTGGAGATCCGAACACAGGAGTAATACTGAGATAAATTTTATAGCACTTCCTAAGATTATAAAACTGTGGCCGGTCGATATTTTTAATAATAGCGTTAAAAAGTTTTTATTAAATTCAACAAGTTTCATTTTTATTTACGACAGTAGGAAGAAAATTTTTGCAAGACTATGTAAGTTTTCAGTTTTCACCCTACTGCCGAAGTGGAGTAATGTTTTATACATATGTTTAAATCTTGGCATGCTGTTCAGCCTAAACCTTTTGAGAATTTCAGCAACATTAGGCTTTATTATTTTAATAAGGTGCCCGCGAACATAAGATAAGAGCCGTTATAGGGCAGTGTCCTGGCGCTCGGTTTTATTTCAATATAATGAAATTCTGTACATAAGTGCCGACTTCTCACGCGCCACTTGCCGATTTTGCCCAGCAGTGGGAGGTTATAAAGCCTAACTGTGACTTTGTTTGTAACTTTAATATAGGGGAATAGTTCATATTTTAATGCGGTCACGTTTCTGTTTCATAATATGGATATTACATGGATAAATATTCGATTATAATTGTTATTGTTATTTATTATAACATTGAAAATGACTACAGATATGATATCTTTTCCTTTGGGAATGTTTTTTTAACCTGGTAATTTTTTTAGTATCTAAAATCTTAGACGTCTTT